TTCATGAAATTTATGTGAGATCCAGCATCCAGCGGGAGATCTCTGTTTTTATACACTTTGTTAGTGGCGAGGAGGCAATAAGAAAAAGAGCATAAGAACATCTTGCATTTGTACATGTGACAAAACCACACCATCATGTGAGCACATTGCTGGACGACCTCTCAAGTTGAGAGGATGAAGGAGAGGTCCAAAGCTTAATCTCTATCGGTTTCATGGTGGATTTGCCTTTGGGGGTATCAGAATCCAAATGGCCTGGATCTCTCTGCCTTAGCTTGTTGGAAATGCTCTATGTGCAAAGAACAATATCCTTGTTGCACTGCAAGGTAGCGATGGCATTGGAGTCAAGCATGGGAAAAGTAGAAGGTGTTATTATTAATCTGATGCTGAAGATAACAAATGACTACATGGCTGGATGTGGTTGGGCTGAGAACACTGTATTTAGTTGACTGTGGTAGTTGGCTCCTTTGCTAGTTGGGTTACGGAGGGAGGCCTGGGATCCTTGAATGAGCTGCCTATCTCCAGGCTGCTTTTGCTCTCTCTGAGGCCCTCCCTGGCCAGAGTTTCACTGGTCCCCTGGCTGTCCTCGGCTCTCTGCTCTCTGGCTACCCTTGGGAATTGTGGCTTCTCAGCATTGTCTGTGCTGTTTGCAGAGGCCTTGCCTGAGTCAGATCTCCTCTCTCCAGCTGTCTGGGAGGCAAAACCATTACAGAGTATGCCCAACATTACCTCCCTTGTTGGGGACATCCTGTGGGCATATGTTTGGTTTACTTGACGTGCTTCTGGCAACATGTGGGTCTTGTCTAGGCAGAAATGTGAGAGCCCTGTGGGCTTGGAGCCCAGGGGTTGCATACACGAGCTTTGTAGCACATACGTCCCTGAGGACTGCAGGGCCATCTTGTTGAGCCGGTGACTGGAATCAACACAATTTTCTTTTTTCTTTAAATACACACACCCAAACACACACACGCTCTCTCTCTTTTTAAAAAACAGATACTAATTAGCAGAGTAGAATGTTCAAAAGAATATCCCCGATCCTTTAGAAGAGAGAAATAAATGAATTCTTAATGAGCTAAATCTGTCTGGGTATCTATGAAATTGCAGATTCCAGGGCCTTATACCTAGACTTTGTTGAATCAGAATATCTTGGAAGGGATTGTGAAATCTGCATGTTTAACAAACACCTTGCATTGAACTTTGAAATTTGAGAACTTCAGTTCTAGATGCTTTCTAAACTATTGTTAAATACACACAACATAAAATTTCCATCTTAACCATTTTTAAGTGCACAGAGTTGTGGCATTACGTACATTTGCATTGTTGTACAACTACTCTGCAGAATTTTTTTATTTGCAGAACTGAAACTCTGTACTCATTAAACAACTTTCCTCTTCTCCCTTCCTGTTTCTGGCAACCACCATTCTACTTTGTGTTTTGATGAATTTGACTACCCTAAGTACCTCACAGAAGTGGAATCAGACAGTGTTTGTCTTTTTGTGACTGGCTTATTTCATTTAGCACAGTATCATCAAGGTTCATCATGTTGTAGCATGTGTCAGAATTTCCTCCTTTTTAAAGGCTGAATAATATAACATTGAATATGTACACCATATTTTGTTTATCTGTGCATTCGTAGATGGACACTTGGGCTACTTCTATCTGTTGCTTGTTAGGACTAATGCTAATGCTTCACTGAACATGAGTGTACAAATATCTCTTTGAGACCCTGGTTCTAGTTCTTTTAGCTGTATACCCAGAAGTGAAATTGGTGGATCATATAGTAACTCTAGTTTTTTTGAGGAATCACTATACTCTTTTTCATAAAATGGTGGCTGCACCATTTTACATTCCCATCAACCATCAGCAGTGTACCAAAGTTTCCAATTTCTCCACATACTTGCCAATATTAGTTATTTGTTATTTTCTGGTGGCAACCATCCTAATGAGTGTAAGGTGGCTCTTATACTCATTAGGGTTTTGTGGCTTTGATTTGCATTTCCCTAATGATTAGTGATGTTGAACATCTTTTCATGTGCTTGTTGGCTACTACTTGTATGTTATCTTTGGACAAAATATTCAAGTCCTTTGCCCATTTTTTTAATCAGGAAATTTGTTTTTTTTGCTGTTAAATTGTAGATTTGGATATTCATATATTTGGATATTAGCCCTCATTATATATATGATAAACAAATATCTTTTCCCATTCCATAGATGGCCTTTTTACCCTGTTGATTGTATTTAGATGCAAATTCCAGATGCTCTATACACATTATAGACTGTAGAGAAAATATTATCTACTATTCCAATTTTATAGGGATGGACACTCAGGCCCAGTTTAGCCAACTTGCCTGGGGTTACTAGCTCTAAATACGTGTCAGAGCCGGGATTTGAGCTCGAGTTCTTCTAACTCGAAAGCTTGCACCCTGTCCGTTTTTCTGCTTTGCCTGCCATTCCCCCCATTGTGCTGACAGCATAAGGAAGCTCTATTGAGATCTGAAGGAAGGGGCACTTGGAGAAATGTTCAGCTGCAGGAGAGAAAGTATGAATGTAAGACCCGGGACTCTCTTCCTTCATACAATGGGGTGCCCCTTCCTGTAGATCTGCATCACTGCTTAGACCTCAGAAATAGCCAAGAAGTACTATTTGGTTTAGTTTGGTGGTGTTTTGTTTGTTTGTTTCTTAAGCTTGTTTCAGGTCCCATCTGCTCCTTGCAGTTCCCTCAGCAGTTCATATTTGTTCACACCACTGTGCCTCTGTTGATGCTGCTTCTTTGGCCTGCAAGACTTTCACCATTGTGTACCATCTGTCTTTCAGGGAAGTCACTCTTCTTCCCTCTCTCTCTCTGCCTCACCAGGCAGAAGGAAGTGTCCCCTCATTTGCAGTCCCTTTCTTTTGGGTTATATCCCACAGCCTTATTAGTGCTGTGTCACCCAGCACCCTGGAGCTTCTCCCTGACTGTGCTTTATCTAGTCTCAGCTCCACCTAGTCACAAGCTCCCCAGGGCATTCCTCTTGCAGCCAGCCTGGACCCCAGTGCTAGCCTGCATCCAACCTGGCTGCACTGAGTTAGATCCACTTCTGGAACTACCTAGTAGTGCTGTAGTCTCTTCTTCTGGCTCACTCCTGGAATTGTGGTGTGTGTCCTGCGTGGGAGCATCAGCAATCCCAGCATAGGGCTCTCACTGTTGCCTCTGCCCCTTTGAGACTTGGCAATTTTGAGAGGATAGGAATTCCATTCATTTATCATTCCTCAGTCTCATTTATTGTGAACTAGGCACCATGGTGGATATAGCCTATCTTTGAACAACTTATATTCTGCCAGGGAAAGTATATTCTAGCCTGCTGAGAGGCAAGGCTGTGTGTGTATTTGTGTGTGAGCACAAGTGCATGTGTGTACGTGTGTGCTAAGACCATGTGCTTGGATGTCAGGATTCTGAGTGACATCACCTATCTGGGCAATTGGAGGAGGTTTGAGGGGAGGGTGGTGTGACCCAGTTTTTAAAAGGTGGTGGGTGTGTCTGTAGGGGAGGAATTGGATGCTTTTGGCTGATCTGTGAGGAAGAGGGAGGGAGAGAGACTGAGGGGCTTATTCTGAGACTTTTCTCATGGGAGATTACCTTTAGGTTCATTTCATTCATTCATTCATCAAATACCTACTCTCTTGTACTCAAATTCTCGATGTGGACCAGCTGTTTTAGCATCAGCTGGTAGTGAATCTCTGTTTTAGCAACTTATTCTGGTGATTTTTATGCATGTTAAAGTTGGGTAATTCCTCCAGAATGTGAACTTCCCATCTTCATCTGCATTACCTTCAGTGCTTAGCCAGAGAGAGGCTCCATACACATCTATGGACTGAGTGTTACATGCTAGGCCCTATTAGGGACTGGGCATGTGGGAGAGAGGATGCATCGGGGGAAGATGGCAAGGCCACCTGAGTTTGAGGTATTGTGGGATGTGTGAGTAAAGACAGACAGCAGGACACCAGATAGCTTCCTCCGAGTTTCAGGACAAAAGTCTGGGTTTGGAGGTATTTTGGAAATCATTGGCACACCAGTAGAATGATTAACTGACCAAATGTATGAAAAGAAGCTCTCAAGACCCACATGAAAGTCAGGGAGGGACATGGTGGCCCAGCTGACCTAAAGCTAGGTGTTCTGATGATATTGGCCTGGATGCCCACTTGCCTGTGTTGAGATGACATTTTTACTGTGCAGTCACTGTGGCCATCAGGGCAAGGTGTGACTCGTATCACTGAATACTCAGGAAACTGTTGCTCTTGAGACTCCCTGTTTTGTAGGCATCTACTTTTTGTTGGGGTCCTCCTTTTTCCTACTCTCCAGGGGACAATATGATAGTACCACCTGGCAAGACCTTATGGAAGTGGGCAGAGATGGCCCTCAGTTGTAGTAACCATGGGCAAGGAGGTGGGGTTTGCACATGTACTGGAGGATGTTCCACCTTCGAATGATGTTATGCAGAGTGGGACCTGTACGGGACAGGGCTTTGGCCATGGTAGTCCTATAGAATTTGATCCTGGATTTATGTTGGGAGAGTGAGTTCTGTAACCCAGCATTGCACCATAATAGTTACAGCAAACTGAACTGCCTCACATAGTTTATGAAAATCTATGTTTGGTAATCAAATGGTTAATAGAAATCTAAGCATAGGTCAGATTGAATGGACACATTTATATACTAGATTCCACTATTAGGAGAAACAGAACTTTACTGGCAGGAAGGGAAGCAGGAAGTGCTGGCAATTGTTAATTCCCTAGCTGGAAAATTCTTTGTGATCTAGGAGAGCTTAGAAAAATATTTGCTGTAGTTCCTCAAATATTGGGGGATTAAAGGGGACAGCATGTGACCTGTTGCCACCTGACCAACATGTGTCAGAGTGGTTTGACTCCTGACTGGTCACCAGGTAATCTGTCCAAAGCAAAGTTCAGGAGGCACCAGGATGCTCTCCTGAGGTTCCACCATGACAACCTCTCATTCTGTGCACTGTAACAAGGTATAGCATGGACACTGGCCTCAGCTCGCAGCCTTCTGTGGAGGTAGGTCTCTGAAATCTCGTTGCAAAGAGGTGACCGGGTATGTGTATTTATGATAAGTGTTGGTCAGTCCTGGCCATGGGCCTTCTCCTTAAAGACTGGCCATGGGCCTTCTCCTTAGAGACTTCTGTCCCTTGCCTGCAAATTGTCAGCAGAAAAGTGCTCATATTCATGGGGCACCAGAGGTGGGCACGGCTTCCTACAGGCCATTGCTGCCGCTGGGAAACAGGCAAAGAACCCATGATGGTTGTAGCAGCAGATTTTACTGGGGGGGCATCCCACCCCCTTTTTATCCGCTGCTTGCTCTTGTACTGTTTCTTATGATGAGTAAAATATTTATTCCCTTCCCTTCCCCAGCCCTGCAAGCTGGTAGATGTGGGCAGACAGTTTATGTCTTTGGTGCCCTTGACTATGGATTTCAAGCAAACTGATTATAAGTTCATCCTTCTGTGGGGACTTAATTAACCCACTGATTATGTCATTTCAATTACAGTAGCCCAATGTAATCGGTTCCCCTTAATACTTTGAAATTACTCTCCTCAAAAGTTGTGTGCAAGTCATGCCTTCAGCTCTGACCAGCAGCGCTGGCTGGTGCAGCTTCTGAACTGGCCTTTCTCACCACAGCAGGAGGCTGAGATAGTGGGGAGGCTGGGGCAAGGGCCTGGTGCCTGCGGCACCTCCTTTGAAGGCAGTGCTCCCTGCCCCCTGCAGTTGTTGCCCCCTGAAAGCACTTTAAACTCCTCAGCCCACTCCCCACTGCTGGAAGGGCCTCTGTGGAGAGAGGTCTGAGCTTTGTTAGTTGGGTTTTGATTTCAGTACAGGAGTTGATAAAACGAGATAAACCCCAGGCTCACGAGGGCTGTGGAAATTAAACAGAGATGATATCAAAGTTCCCTTGAGTTTTCAACTGTGATACAGTAGCTCAGTTTTCTCCCAGACTGGGGCCTGGAGGCAAGCCTTTGATTCTGAAACAATGTTCAGCATCAGTTAAGCCCACACTGCTGACTTTTAGGGATTAAGCACACTGTTGTAGTAATTCTTTGATCAGCTGCAAGGGAGCAGTGTACTGTCTGTATGAAGGGGCTTTATAGTTAAAGTTCATTTCTCTGTGAACCTGGGATGACAGTGTTGGCGAGGTGCTGCAGCAATGGGAGCTGGGGCCTCCTCATGTGCTGTCTGCAGTGCTATAGGCAGAAGCAGGAGGCAGGCTTCCTCCTGGCCTTGCTGTATGGTGCTCATTCAGCATGGCATGGCAGAAGAAATCCTCCTGGCTTCGAAAACATCTTGCCCTCCTCATCTTGCCCAGTCTATACACATGTGGGCACACACATATATGTGGGTACACACACATATTCACACAAACATACACACACTCTTATTCTCCTACCTTGCAGAGGAACCCTCTCATGGGCAGACATAGGATCAGCTGCCTAGAGCTAGTTTCTGCAGCCCCCTCAGCCTTGGAAATGAACTAGCAGAGGCTGTATGCCTACTTAGGGGAGAGGTCAGAATGGGGATTGGAACCAGATGACCTGCAAGGGTGAATTAGGAGGTCTAGCTTGAGGTCAGATGTGACTCCCTGGCACCCCGCCTCTTTCATTCCTTACCTGGCATTTAATGAGACCTGATTTAGATTGGCTTAGTCTTATAGTTCTGAAAAATCTCAACAGCTGTAGTCTTGTTATCCAAAACATTGGGTTAACTTTTGGCTTTCCTTGTAGAGATCCTCCTTGCAGCCACAGCTGGGATGGCACAAGTTTCCTCATTTTGTTCCCCCCTCCTCTCAGTTGGCTCTGCGACTTCCAATTGGTAATGGAGCCCCTGTGAGCTGTCGATCCTGCTTGCACCGTGCCATAGATCAACCTATTCCCTCCTGTACAGGGCTCGGATCTCCCTCATTAGGGCTAAATTTACCTCCATCCTACACAAACATGGCCTTAGCTCATTTTTATTGTTGTAAATTATTTATGAGGGGAATGTTGAATCTTGAAACTGAGGTGTGAGAAAAATTAATCCCATGTTACTTTTATCTTTCTGTACTTTCCCCCCCTTTACTTGACTTATTGAGCTGTGACTAGAGATAGAAGAGCTTTGGCATTTTAAAATATAATTAGTGTTGAAACTGCTTTCTCAATCGGGTGGGATATTGGTGCCTCTCTGTCTAGTGCAAGAGAAGGCAGACCAGACCTGGGTAGGAAGACTAGCCATCCCATTCGGCTCTGCCAGCTGCGTGGTGTCTAAGATGTCTGGACCTCGGTTTTCTCTCCTGTAAGACAGGGAAAGTACCACCTGGCCACCTCTCAAATTTGATGTGAGCATCAACTGAGAGGGAATTTGAGAAAGTTTTTTTGAGAATTGCAAATCACTGTCCAAATGCAACAGAGACATATTAGTGTGTTTTGTGGGCAGTTAGGATTTTGAGATAGAGGTGGATTCTGAATGAGGGGCTGCTGAGATGAAACCAGGAGTTGTTGCAAGTAGGCCTCAGGATTTTATGTTTTAACCCAGACAGGTTAATGTTGGTCTTAAACACTCAGCTCCCCTGCCCTCCCCTCCCGGGTCAGATTTGCTCTGCGGGCTCTCATTAATGGCCTCTTCTTCCCCCTGGCAGATGCCTGGCCTGCGACCCTGGGTGGCTGAGCTCTGAGCCCGGTGCCATCCCTTCCTGCTCCGGCTCCGGGCAGCTCGGAGAAACATGGAGTGCTAGTTAATAAATGGCCTTTTGTTAGGAAGGTCAATTGAAGTGCTGGTAGAGACGCTGTTAAAAGTAATTTGCAGTCAGAAAATATGTAATTCAGGGCAAGCTGCTTTGAGTGATGGCCTCTGCCATGGATATCTTGGGCGTTTCTCATTAAAAGCTTCCTCCACCCGAGTCTGCTGTAGCTGGCGCAGTGCGGAACCATTTGTCTATATTTCACAAAGGCTGCCTGATCCCCACCCCCCAGGCACGGCTGCTGGGGGGAAGGAAAGTGGGCGTTGGGCGTTGGGGATGCTCTGTGAGCAGTTCTGCTAGGTCTTCGGCTGGCAGGGCTGTGACCACACGCGCACAGGCCCAGCTTCTTTGTCTACCTCAGCCCGGGGCGCCCGTGGCCATCTTGGAACCTGCTGCTGGGCCGCCTCGGTGCATTGTGGGAGCAGCATCATTATGCAAGAGCGTGTTGACCCTCCTGCCACTGAGAGTGTGCTCCACAGCCAAAGAGAGCCGTTGTCATCAGCACCTCGTGGAGGGTACTGTGACCTGAGGACACGGAGATGAATCTATCAGCAAATAAGATATGGATTATTCTCTCCCTCTTTCTCCTTTCCTTCTTTCTTTTCTCTCTCTCTCATAGTAGAGGCCTTACTGTCTTTAAAAAAACGAACAAAAACTTACCTCACATGTTCTTTATTAAATTAACAGCGTGGTATTTTAGCACTGGCAGAATTCATACATTCAATTAATGAATTGTTAATTGCAAATCATTCTTGGTAACTAACAGCAGGTACCAATATTTTGCAAACTGCGGCAATGTTATTTTCATATTACCAATAATACAGGATTTTTCAAGCGCAGGGCTTTTCTGATCAGTGCCTGCTTTGGCTCAGGCAGTTGCACATATTTAATTCTAAACCGTTATTAGGGACATGCATGCATGTTCTTGCAATAAATATTTACTTAATGCCTACTGTGCGCAGGAAGCACTAAGCCCTGTGCTTTATGCAGATAAACTTGCCTGGTAAATGAAATTTGAAAATAGGAAATAATGCAGTGATGTATCTTGGTCTCCTGCCCTCTGCCCTGGCTATGTAGAAGCTTATTTTCAGTAGAATTAAGTAAAGCATAACTTAGTTTAGCTTTTGTCATAAACAGAAGCTGAGAGTGCAGCTGTTCCAGGTATGTCTCAGCCTTGATCGGGGACCTGGCTCTGTTGCATTGACAAGTCTGTTTCTGGAGCTTTTTGCAGGTTCCACTGCCTTCATTTATGACTTGCATACAGTATTTCGATTGTTTCCATTTAGGAGGCTGCAGTCATTTTTAATGGCCTCTGTCTTTTCTGATTCTAGACTGAGAAGCAGGAATATTCCTCCTGCCTCTTTCATAAGGCAGGGTGTTCGGTTTGCTTTGGAAGCAGTAACCAGCCTGAAGAGATCTGGCAGAACTACAGCCAGTGGAATTTAATTGTTGCAGAAGGGGGTGGAATTTGACTTGCTCTTTTTCACTGCTTGGCCTTTTAAAAGTACTTAGGTTCATTTACATACAGTGTTGCCTCTTTTATTTGCTTTCTGGTGTACTGCCACTCCAGCTGCCCAGACCCAGTGCTCTCTATATTCTACCTGTCTCCTCTGGTCACATCAAGAGGCAGACAGCAGCAGAATAATAATTCCATTTTCTCTCCCTTTGTCCCAAAGTACCCAGCAAGAATTATGGCCATTGTTAGTGTTTGGCTTTAAGTAAGTACCCACATGACCTGAGGGTGAAACACAACAAAGAGATTTTGCCGACTGTCTAGGGAATGACACGTACCACATTTCTGGCTAGTTACACTGGACCGATATGCTCCAAACACCACCAGTCTCAACTGGTTTTTGTTGAGTGACGCCTGCTGTGTACCAGGGACCTCTCCAGGCCCTTCATTTACGTTGACTCTCTTCATTTTCACGGCAGCTCTGCAAGTGTCAGTATCATGACCTAGTTTTATAGTTGAGAATATTAAGGCTCTAAGAGGTTAAATTGCTTGCTTAAGGTCACCAGCTAGTCAGTTATGGAGCCTGGACTTGAACACTTTTCCTTTGCCCCATGCCCAGAACGCTCTTCAATGTGTTTGCAAAGATCTTGGCTTATTTGCAAAGCTCTGCCTGCTGAAGGTCTAACCTTGACTGTGGTAGAGGCTGTAGATTTAGAAGTCTGCACCTCCATAAGGAAAAATTACAAGGCAGAGAAATGAAAGCTGTTGTTAGGCTTAGCCATATCTGATTTGTCTTCAGAGGAGCTACTGGTATCTGTTCAGAAATCAGACAGCTGGACAGACAGTCAAGTTGAGAATAACTTGCTTTGGGGTTTGAGTCAGAATTACCTCCCGAGAGCAGGGACAAATACTCATTAACTATGTTAGCTCAGTGTCCAAAACTAACTTGAGAAGAACCCGGGCCAGAGGTGATTCAAATTCTTGATCTGAGGAAAAGGTCAGGTAGGGTCAGGACCCCTTCAGTCAGTTCAGGTATGTGGAACCTAGCTCGGGATATTTGTCCCAAGATTCTGATTCTGTTTGAAACTTTGTATTGTTCATTTTAAATGCTAAGTTTGAATTTTGTGCTTTCTTTTTCCTTTTCTGAACCAGGATCAATCCACCATGCCTGAAGTCAAAGACCTCTCAGAAGCCTTGCCAGAAGCATCAATGGATCCCATCACGGGAGTTGGGGTGGTGGCTTCTCGGAACCGAGCCCCTACAGGCTATGATGTAGTAAGTCAAGATACTATTTTGTATGTTTTGCACACTGACTCAACAAATATTTTTCTTCTGTGCCCAAGACCCCCTGAACCTTGTGTATAAAATGTGGTTCTTCTCTGTAAGAACTTAAAATAATCAAGGGATAGAAAGTATTGTCAGTGGAGGGCATAGGAAGTATCTTGGTTTGGAAGTCAGAAGACCTGAGCCCCTCTGGGCTGTCTCCTGGCCTTGGCCATGGCCAAGTACTTTAACCTCTGTGATAGTCATTTTCTCCTTCTGTAAAATTAAGGGATTGGATTCATTGATTTCCCAAGTCACTCCTACTTGTGACATTTCATGAAAAGGATTCAGAGTCTATGAAAGACCTCTGGTGGCTGTCATATATTGTTATGCATGTATAAATGTCTTAAGTATATTGTCATGCATTTGTATAGCTCTTTACAGTTTACAAAGCAGTTTCTACCCATGAACTCATTCAACTCTCATGAGTCCCTGGAAGGCTGGGAGGGCAAGTAACTTTATCTCCACCTGCTGATTAGGAGAACCCAAGCTTCAATAAGTGATGCTTAGAAGTGGTAAATAATCAGGGCCAGGCCTTCTATTAGTCCAGTGCTGTAACTGACCACACTGCCACAATTTAGCAAAGAACTTTCCTTGCTTTTCAGCAGACATCTGTGCTGGTGTCAGTAGTCCTGATGATTGGAACTGGTTATTTTGTGGCGGTGTTCAAAAGGTACAGAGGAACATTAGGAGGGTCTCATTAGCGGTGGATATTGTCATATGTCTTTAAAAAATTTTTATTTTAAAGATATGGGGTACAATTCAGGATTAGGTATACGAGTGGTCATTGTACAGGTAAAATTTGGGCCTCCCTTTGGTCCCCACTTCACCTGGTTTGAGATCAGGTACCCTTATTGATGTTATATGCCGCCCCACACCTCCCCTCTAAGGTGGTCTCATTTTCGCTTTCTTCTTTTTGTTTATGACAACATTCTATTCCTGTTCATTGGAAATGTGCATCAAGAATACATAAGAATAAAAGAACATGAGTCTCACTAGCCAGCACTGAAAACCTGCCGTAGTGATTAGATGAATGTCTGATGTTCCCAGTTTGGTCCAGCAGAAGCCCCAGGGCAGGGCTTCTCAATCTTGGCCCTATTGATTTTTGAGACCAGACAATCAGATAACTCTTTGCTGTGCAGCCGTCCTATGTAGCATAGATGCTTAGCAGCATCCCTGGCCTCTACCTAGTAGGTGACAATAGAATCTGCCCCTTTTCCTTCATTGGTGACAACCAAAAATGTCTCCAGACATTGCCATATATCCCCAGGAGGAGAGTGTGTACAAAGTCAGCCTCCATTGAGAACCACTGTGGTCAAGACTGCTCTGTACTGGGTCAGCCAGCTCTGGGTCCTGGGTGGGGAAATTGGAACCTGTGCAAATCCTCCATGTCTCTTTCCCAACTATTTGAAAGCTCATAAACATTCTGAATGTGAAAGAATGAAGGAATCTTTTCTAAAAAAATTTGAATCTTACCTGCTGCCTGACTTCAAAGCACGGTTTGAATGTATAGCTTTCCATAAAATAGAATCATTAGGTATGGCTTTGTGCCACAAAAGCTCTTGGGGAAGCTAATAAAAATGTTCCTGATTTGAGGATCCGAAGTGTCTTTTGATAAATTAGGTATGAAGCAGCAAGTCATGAATCAAGGCAGGGCTGGGAGCTCACAATCTGGGGAAGGATGAGCTCGGGGTTGCTCTCCTGAAAGGTCTCACTGGGAGCTCAAGCCCAAGGCCAGGGGTCTCCCCATCTTCCTGCCACCCTCTTTTGTGGATCTGTATCTGTAACATTCCGTTTGTACCTTTGGGGTCATTCTGCATGCTTGGCTAGTGGGCGGCAGATGGCCTTTGATAGTCTGGTTTTCTGGAAGTCTTGGTAAATCTGACAGGAGCAGAATCTATCCCTATCATTTTCTCCTAACATCTAGCTCAGGGCAGAAGAGCACAGTGTCAAATGAGTAAAATTAATAAGCACATTTCACGATTGTGCAGTGCCATGCATTTTAGTGGGAGGTGAACAGGGCAAGGGGCTCGAGTTAGGCCGCCCAGTAATTACCCAGCCTCTGAACGGCCGAGGTGGAGGCTGCCCGGGTTCCCTCTGAAAGTCCTTCCAGGGAGAGAGGTGGGAGTCCCCTCTTGGTACTGGCTCTGGACACATCTCAGATAAGCATCTCATTCCCCCAGAGGTCTGGCCCTGAGTTCAAGGAAGGTGGGGAGGGCAGGGTGAGAAGAAGGACTTCCCGTTCCTTTGATCTGGAGTTCCATATCAAGTCAACATTCAGACCAAAGTGTAAAGCACTGTGTAGTGGCCAGGCTGCAGAGATTCTTAGCTAGAACTTCAGCGAATGAGGAAGCCCTGCTGTGGATTGGGGCGAGACCTTTCTCTGTCTGTCGTAGCTGTTGGAGGATTAATCCTTCCCTGTGCACAGAGCACGTTAAGCACTGCAACCATGCAGCCCTGTGAGTTAGGTAGCAGATGGACTACTGACCCTAAGTAGCACAACTGCTTTAAAATGAGCTTAGGCCCCATTGCTGCTTAGGGTAAAAGATGCCAAATGTTCATTTATAAAAATATAATTCAATAACTTCCCTTCTCACTGGGTCGGGGAAGCTTCTTAGGCTAGGGGACTGGGGATTATTTGCTAAATTTCTCAATTTATTGTCCCTGTGTCTGCAGTCCTCTCTGAGCTAGTCTCCCTTTTGGTTCTGCAGCCACACTTTCAGATGTTGGAGTGACTGAGGCATCAATCCCCTTGCAGTCAGATTCAGGGTGGGTCTCATGATTTCCTGTGACATTGCATCCCTGGAGTAATGACTCCATGTCATAGTTGCCTGGTGTTTGCCAGAGGTTGTGCATGCTATTTTATCATATGTGGATAGTCAGTTTTCAAAGAATTGTAATGTAGTGCTACAACTCCTCTGCAAAGAATGTAACTTTTGCTTTACAAATCAGAGCCCTCATGACCAAATCACCTCTTAAGGTCTTATTTTTCAGCTCTGTTGCTTTGGGGATTAAGCTTCCAACACATGAACATTGGGGGACACATTCAAATTGTATTATATAGCACATGATTTCTCATAAAGAGTTAGGATCAGACTTAGTTTTCAGGAGACTTTTCTGGGAATAACTGGAATGAGATATTAAAACTCAGAGACATCTGCTGTGGAGATGCAGGCCCATCCTCAGACTGCTTCCTTGCCCCGTTCTCTGCCTTGCTTTAGGCTGCTTTCATTCTACCCACCTCAAAAAGGCATTTAGAGTTACCACACTTAGCATCTGGGCCAAAATGTATCATAGTCTTTAAGGAGAATATTTTTTTTCTCACACCAATTTAAGACTGCTTCCATTTCCTTGCTGAGAAACTCCACCGTACACACACAGGAGTCTTTCTGGCATAGAAACTCTTAAGAGTCAGGTTAGCCTTGAGCTCAATGGCTATTTCCAGATGTCCAGGTAAGGGATTCCCAGTCTTTAGTGGACCTCAGTTTCCTGGAAGGTCAAACATCAGAGTTCCTGCCTGAAGATGCTTTTCACCCTTGGGCATATCTAGAAGAGCAAGGGCCTGAAGGATCTCTCTCTCTCTCACACACACACACACACACACACACACACACACACACACACACACACACTCGCACACACACACACACACACACACACACTTGTTTCAGTGTTAGAAAAGAATCCGCGCTGGGCTCGGTGGTTCAGCCTGTAATCCCAGCACTTTGGGAGGCCAAAGTGAGTGGATTACCTGAGCCTGCGGGTTCGAGACCAGCCCGGGCAACTTGGCAACACTTCGTCTCTACAATAAAATAAAAAATAGCTGGGCATGGTAGCATGTGTCTATAGTTCCTGGCTACTCGGAAGGCTGAGGCAGAAGGATTGCTGGAGCCCAGAAAGTCGACGCTGGGGTGGCTGTGAGCATGGGTACCACTGCACTCCAACCTGGGCAAAGGAGTGAGATTCCAACTAAAAAAAAAAAAAACAGAAAAGAAAAGAATCCACCCCCTCAAGAGGTTCCTTCGATAACCACACATAGGACAGAAATCCAAATTCTTTTATTTGACATGCATAATTTCATTGTGTCTCACAGTCTCACTTCCTTTTACTCATCTTCTCTCTGGCCCCATTGAACCTCTTACTTTCTTATGTCCAGAATAAGCAGGAACTTTGTACCATTAAAACTTTGAACTAGCTATTCTCATATTTGCAAAATACCTATGCCCTCCTCTTTAGTAAAATTTTACTCATCCTTCAAAACCTAGCTCATATAGCTCCTTAGTGAAACCTCCTGACCATTATGCATTTATTTATCTTCTCTCACAAATGTTTATTGATCACCTACTATTGTAAGGCACTGGAAATCCAGTTTTCTGGGAAGGTTGGGTTCTACCAAGTGAAATCAGAGATGGGGAGTTGGGTGAGGCCAGATCACAACCATATTAAGGAATTTGGCTATTATTCTGAGGGTGGTAGGCGTCATTAGGTTCTTAGTCAGATTTGTGTTTTCAAAATTCACTTGGTGTGTGTAACAAGGAGTACAGTTGATCTGGGGGATGGGGGGAAGGTGGAAGCAAGTGAATGAGTTTGGAAGCTGCATATTAGTACAGAGTGATACAGGTAGTTTTCACTAGGTTTTTAATGTGGAAATATAGAGAGTAGATGGATCGGGGCTATGTAAACATGGGACATAAGAACCCAAATACTTACTCTTTCGCAGAAAAAAATGGATTGAATGTTGGGAGGTACATGCAGAGGTAAGGAAAGGGAAGGATCAGAGTGGCACAAGAAGTCTTGCTGGTAGTTGGGTGAATGGTGATGCTTTCTGCTGAGGTAGGAACATAGACAGCCAGATGGGGTAGGGTCGGGAGAGAGATATTTGGGTCAGTTTTGGACACAGTGCATTTGAGGTGCTTATGTAATGTCTATGTGGAGCCCTAGAGCTAAAGGTC